ATTTCAAAACGGAGAGGTATGTCTTGCGTGATTTTACGTGGACCCCACCTCGATTTTGTAGCGCCACAGTGTCCACTCTACTGTATTTTTTTTAGTTAATTTCTTTTTATATATTCACCAGATCCTTAACAGAGAGTAACAAAATGTGGAAACTGTAGAAAAAGCAACGGAAAGAGGAAGGCAACGAACAAGAGAGAAACAAACTTTCTCTCTCTCTCTCTCAATGTTTTTCACTCTTTTCTCTCTCTAGAAGTTTCCCATCTTCTGCTTTTACTAGGAAGACGACGAGAGACGACTCTTACTTATTAAGGATGGTGTTGTTCTCGCCTGTGTAACGAGACTGTTCCTTCTCATCGACGATTTTGTATAGCTTTTTGAAGATCTAAGGTTGGTGTTGTTAGATTTCCTTATCGCCTAACTGCTTTTTCTACATTTCTTCTTCGCCGGTGGATTTTGAGCATTTTAGATGTTTCTTAGTGGATTCACTGTTTTTTTTGGCTTGTTTCTCCGACTTGCATGCTACATCAGCTTTTTTGTTCTGTGGTATTACTTTCTCTCCGTCGTTTTCTGTTTTGGTGCGTCTCTCATTGACTCGAGACGAAAAAAATTGAAACAAGTGATTTGAGATTCAAATTTCCTGTACAAACAAAAAAGCTTCAGCGTAATTCGCGTTGCGTCATTGATTTTGGTTTTGTGTTTCCAAGAAAAAAATGTTTTCTCTCGGTGCAGTGAACTGTGAACGATAGATTAAATTTTCATTTCTTTTTGATTCACGATTTTGTGCCGTTAGTATTCTTCCTCGGAGTTGCTAACGAGGTTGTTTATGATCTAGAAATTCCGATGCTATATTCGAGATTATGTTTCAGATTTAGGGATTTGAAGTAGTGAAGTAGCTGAAATCGGAAAACTCATAATCTGTAAGCCTAATCTCTCTTCCCCTTTTTAGCTACTGATTGTGAATCTGTAACTCTAATTATCATTTTTTGAATTGTGTAGGAACTTTGTTACAAGATGCAGAGACCACCTCCTGAAGATTTCTCCTTGAAGGAGACTAAACCTCATCTCGGCGGAGGCAGAGTCACCGGAGACAAGCTCACAACCACTTATGACCTCGTCGAGCAAATGCAATACCTCTACGTCCGTGTCGTCAAGGCCAAAGATTTACCCGGTAAAGACTTAACCGGTAGCTGCGATCCATACGTTGAAGTCAAGCTCGGCAACTACAAAGGTACCACTAGACATTTCGAGAAGAAATCGAACCCTGAGTGGAACCAAGTCTTCGCCTTTTCCAAAGATAGGCTCCAAGCTTCTTTCCTTGAAGCTACTGTGAAAGATAAAGACTTTGTGAAAGATGATTTGATTGGTCGCGTTGTGTTTGATTTGAACGAGATTCCTAAGAGAGTGCCTCCTGATAGTCCTCTAGCTCCTCAGTGGTATAGGTTAGAAGATAGGAAAGGAGAGAAAGTGAAAGGAGAGCTTATGTTAGCCGTATGGTTCGGTACTCAAGCTGATGAAGCTTTCCCTGAAGCTTGGCATTCGGATGCTGCAACAGTGAGTGGAACCGATGCTTTAGCCAACATCAGATCTAAGGTCTATCTCTCTCCTAAGCTTTGGTACCTTAGGGTTAATGTGATTGAAGCTCAGGACTTGGTACCTAGCGACAAAGGAAGGTATCCTGAAGTCTATGTGAAGGTGATAATGGGGACTCAGGCTTTGAGGACTAGAGTGTCACAGAGCAGGAGCATTAACCCAATGTGGAATGAGGATTTGATGTTTGTTGTGGCTGAGCCGTTTGAGGAGCCGTTGATTCTAAGCGTGGAGGACAGAGTTGCTCCGAACAAAGATGAAGTCTTGGGGAGATGTGCCGTTCCGTTGCAGTATCTTGACAGGAGGTTTGATTTCAAGCCGGTGAACAGCAGGTGGTTTAACCTCGAGAAGCATGTTATACTTGAAGGAGGAGAGAAGAAAGAGATCAAATTCGCCAGCAAGATCCACATGAGGATCTGCTTGGAAGGTGGTTACCATGTGCTTGACGAGTCTACGCATTACAGCAGCGATCTTCGTCCGACTGCTAAGCAGCTTTGGAAGCCGAACATCGGTGTGCTTGAGCTAGGGATCTTGAATGCGACTGGCTTAATGCCTATGAAGGCTAAAGAAGGTGGTAGAGGAGCGACTGATGCGTACTGTGTGGCCAAGTATGGACAGAAATGGATTAGAACTCGGACGATCATTGATAGCTTTACTCCGAGGTGGAACGAGCAGTACACTTGGGAGGTTTTTGATCCGTGTACTGTTGTCACCGTTGGTGTGTTTGATAACTGCCATCTCCACGGTGGTGACAAGAACGGCGGACCAGGAGGAGGGAAAGATTCAAGAATTGGGAAAGTGAGGATAAGGCTCTCTACTCTCGAGACTGATCGAGTCTACACACATTCGTATCCTCTCTTGGTGCTGCATCCTAACGGAGTCAAGAAAATGGGGGAGATTCACTTAGCTGTGAGGTTCACTTGCTCCTCGCTGCTCAACATGATGTACATGTACTCTCTCCCGCTCTTGCCGAAGATGCATTACCTCCACCCTCTCACGGTTAGCCAGCTGGACAACTTGAGGCACCAGGCGACTCAGATCGTGTCAACGAGGCTGACACGAGCGGAGCCTCCACTGAGGAAAGAAGTCGTCGAGTATATGCTCGATGTTGGGTCTCACATGTGGAGCATGCGTAGAAGCAAGGCGAATTTCTTCAGGATAATGGGAGTGTTAAGCGGAGTGATCGCTGTAGGGAAGTGGTTTGAGCAGATCTGCGTGTGGAAGAATCCGATCACAACGGTTTTGATCCATATTCTCTTCATCATCCTCGTTGTTTACCCTGAGCTTATCTTGCCTACTGTCTTCCTCTACCTCTTCTTGATTGGAGTTTGGTACTACCGCTGGAGGCCGAGGCATCCTCCTCACATGGACACGCGTCTCTCGCACGCTGACTCAGCGCATCCTGATGAGCTGGACGAGGAGTTTGACACTTTCCCTACCTCCAGACCAGCGGACATTGTCAGGATGAGGTATGACAGGCTCAGGAGTATTGCAGGGAGGATTCAGACGGTTGTTGGCGATCTTGCAACTCAGGGGGAGAGGTTTCAGTCGCTGCTGAGCTGGCGTGACCCGAGAGCCACTGCGCTCTTCGTCTTGTTCTGTCTGATAGCTGCTGTGATTCTGTATGTGACTCCGTTTCAGTTTGTGGCTCTTGCCATTGGATTGTATGTGCTTAGACATCCGAAGCTCAGATACAAGCTCCCATCTGTTCCGCTTAACTTCTTCAGGAGGCTTCCTGCAAGGACTGATTGCATGCTCTGACCTGGAGCAAAAAGAGAAACTGCTCTCTCTCGGATCAAAGAAAATTCCTTGAGACTTGTTTAGTTTGTTCTTTGTTTAAAAGTTAAGTCATGATGACTCTTTTCTTGGTGATGATTGTGATGTCTTTCGTTTGTCTTCTTAACATTAGACCTTTGGAAAAATCTTTTTTGTGTTGAAAGTGGTAAAGAAGTATATGTGTGATTTTGATGTTCTTTGTCTCTACTGCTGGTTTTTTTTGTTTCGTTGCCAAGTTGAGATTAGAGGTTGATAATGGTTTGGTTTTTCTGGTCAACAAAGTAATTACAGTTTACAAGTTTCAAGACACAGTTTTCGGGTAGAGCCTAGTTTTTGTCCTAAAGATTCATTTCTCTTTGGTCTTTCATAAATTCATTTTTTTCTTAGCCAACCAAAATTGTCTTTGAGATGCTTATTCTGCATCCACCAAATGAATCCACAAGAGGAGAGAAATAATTGAAGGAAGCTTAACAACACAGATTAAATGGGCCCAGAACAGGTTGATGGGCCACGTGAAAAATGGGATACGTAATGGCAGAGAGAGAATCTTTTGGTAGCTTTTTTGGTGATAAATATTACTTTCATCGCGTAGGTTTCACGCCACATTATCCATTGACTTTTTCTTTACGCCTTTTTTCGAAAAAGAAAATAAAAATAAATGGTTTATATTAATTATTGACTGGTCAATTCATTAAAGTTGCGGAGAGGACCAAAGGAAGTAGGACGAAAGGACATTTATTCGCCGCGAAATCTGGACCGTACGATACTCCGATTACCCCTTCCCGGCTTTAACACAGGGGCAAATCTGTAACTTCGCACCTCACGATCCCTCTCTTCTTCTTCGGGTTATTATATAGAGAAGGAGAAATATTGGAGTTCGAGCGAGATAGAGATAGAGAGAAAAAAAGGAGTAACAGAGAGAGAGAGAGAAGAGAAATTGTAGAGAGAGATGGCAAGTGGAATTGCTCGTGGGCGTTTGGCGGAGGAGAGGAAATCGTGGAGGAAGAATCATCCTCATGTCCGTACTTTGTTTGTTTACATCTCTCAGATTCGTTTTTTGATTTTGGGGTATGGGTTTTGGTTTCCCTTTGGTGGTTTATGGACTCTGATTTCTGACGGGATTCTCTTGCTTGTGTTGATGGTGAAATTAGGGTTTTGTGGCGAAGCCGGAGACTGCATCTGATGGGACTGTGAATCTAATGATTTGGCATTGCACAATTCCTGGTAAAGCTGGGGTAAGTTTAAACTATTCCAAACTTGAAATTAGATTTACATAAGTGTTCTTCTACCTCTCCTTTGCTTTAGTTATGTGTACCAGCTTCTGATTGTTTGTTGAATCAAATAAAGGATTGGAATTTAGGGTTCATGTATCCTCTTATATCTCTGGTTGTGACAGTAAGTCTTTGTTTTGCATTTTTGGGTTTGTTTATCATTATCTGATTCAAATAGTGAAGCTTCCACAAGTTTCTTCCTTTTTTTGTTCTTTGTGATTCTCTCGTATGTTTATCTATTGTGAATGCTAGAAGAAACATTTCTCCCTGTCTATCTTCATTTGTGATGTTCTGACTTTGGTCTAGGAAATGACACTGATTGTGAACTCTACTGTGTATCTTACTTTGATTTCTGGATATCTTTGTATTAGTACAAAGGGCAATTGCTGATATCAATCTCTCTGACATGAACTTGCAGACTGATTGGGAAGGAGGATTCTTCCCATTGACGTTGCACTTCAGCGAGGACTATCCGAGCAAGCCTCCCAAATGCAAGTTTCCTCCTGGTTTCTTCCACCCTAATGTCTATCCATCCGGAACTGTCTGCCTATCAATCCTCAACGAGGATTACGTAAGTACCCTTTTGTTTCCTTCTGTGTGATTCTTACATGAGCAAAAGCAAATCTATGTTCATCATTCTCAAGCTCTCTCTTTTGATTTGGTGTATTGATAGGGATGGAGACCAGCAATCACGGTGAAGCAGATTCTTGTCGGTATTCAGGATTTGCTTGACACACCTAATCCTGCTGACCCTGCACAGACCGATGGTTATCATCTCTTCATTCAGGTAAACCTCAAAACACTCGAATTCTGAAAAACATAGAAATCTTGTGGTTGTGACTTTGTTTTTGATTGGAGATTCGATTTGGTGAAAACGTGCAGGATCCAGCTGAGTACAAGAAGAGGGTTAAGTCGCAATCCAAGCTGTATCCTCCAATTGTCTAAAACCTCAAGAAAAAGGGAACACCAAAACTGATGATGACAAACACTGAATCTTTTTTCTCGTCTTTTGTGTCATTGTGATTGTGTTTTAGATGTCATCGGGTGATTATAAAACTCCTCATTTTGTCACCTTAGAATCTCTTTAATTTCGATGAAAAACCTCTCTTTCTCTATTTAACTGTTAATATTCCTGCTACTGATTCAGTTGGTGTTTGCTTCTATATACATAACTATCTTCTCTGGTCCATTATGTTTTCTTCATACATCCTAATTATGAAGACTAGCGAAACTTATGGCAACGAAAATAATGATATTTTGACTTGAAAACAAGTCTCTCGTATTGCTAATCAAAGGCATATATTTCATAACCCTAACAAACAAGCCTCAATTTCGTCTTTTAATTATTTGCTTAATTTGATAATTCTAATTAGCGAAACTTCGGATTCAGGATCTAAGGGTAAATCTGCGGAAACAATAACAAAAGGATAAGATTCTGCCAACCAAAATTCAATATACACACGAACACCGATTATTATTATTCAACGTAACAACAATGAAATTCTTTTACAAAGGGAAAAACGTCTAAAATGAAGACTCCAAACATAAATGTGTGAACTATCAAAAGTATTATCCTTCCTATGATATTATATCATCAGCAGATGATTCTTGATCGGTTCTATCATCATCAGCAAAATGATCTTTTCCTATAAAATCATCAGAAAGATGATTGACCCTTCTACCAAAAATCATCAGAAAATGATACCAAGTCTTGTAGAAAACATCATCAGAAGATGATCTATAGATCCTTCTTCGATATCATCAGAAGATGATGTACTCACTGTGCAGGCTCCTTTTAACCTGATAACGTCTCTGCCTCCTAAGTGTGGATCATCGCATTGACATTAAAGTCCGTACCCTTTTCTCCCGCTCTTCCCTTTTTGCGAGAGGAGTGCTCTTCAGTTTCTGCATCTCCTCCATCACAATCTTCTCTACTATGTCAATAGAGTTGAGCAGCTTCTTCTCCGGTGTGATGAATCCCGCTTCTTCGTCCTCCTCAGATATCTCGTTTGTGATGTCAAGCAACATCTTGTGGACTTTAGCAGTTGATGGAGGGCAACTACGCTTCAATCCCACAGCTGGACCAGGTGTCACCATTGAGCAATTGTGTTCACCTGACAGTGGTACTGGAGATTCAATCTCCTGGCCATCGACTACTCCCATACCAGCTCTTCTCCTTCTCTCCATTGCCTAAAATCGTAAACAGAATCAATACCAGACTAAGCAAGCTTTCAATGATTAACCAGCAAGACTCAGCAAAACCAAAACTTTTGACCCAAAACTGATTGACATGATGAAGAATCAACAGGTAAACGCAGAAGGGGATGGTCAATTTATCAATTTACCCGAATAATATGAGTTATGTCGCGTAGAGGCGTCCTAGGGTACCAAGAAGGCAACGGACTGGGTGAAGCACGGCCTCTTCCACGCCTAGCAGACACCATTGGCGTATTCTCTCTTCCATTTCCATTTCCAGGCCGCCAAGAACTGAAATTGCCTCTAATAATCCCGCCTGTTCCAATTATAGATCCACGGCCGATGGATCCAGGTTCTGGATTCGCCTGAGGCTCCGATTGGAAAATTATCCGTGAGGCTGGCTCGTCGAGTAACACACCATGGCTGCGTCTGTTTGCGAATATCGCCGAGTAATCTACAGGCCTCTCGATTCGGTCTCTTCCTTCTGGCATTGTGATTCGCTGAGCTGAAATTAAGAACAAGATAAACGATTACAACGATGCCCAAGACTGAAATATCAAATCCAATTGAAGAAATTACAGATTCTAGGGTTTTAGTTCCCTCATTTTCCGAGAAAAAAAAAAAAAATCAATTCCTCATTTCTCGTCGGAGAAACGAATTCCAGAAACCTCAAGAAATGGAGACTACATATCATTTCCTCATAAATTATCTCAAAACAATATCACAAAACAACCAATTTCAAATCGAATCGAGTCACAAGAAAAGCATTGAAACACCGAGTCATTTTATATACTCGAATCAAATCGGAAAGATAAACGATGGATTTATTACCTATGAATCTTCTTCAGTAGGCGGTTGATGAACTCCGGACGGCGGCGTCAAATGTGCAGAGACGAAGAGAGAAGAGAGAGGAAGCTTTCTGGGTGAGAGTGACGATCTGGGGCGATCTTTGAAGGTCGTCTCCTGAGCGGGATTATAACGGGGGATGAAATCAAACGTTGGCACGTACGCACGTGCGAGGCGGGACTCTCACATGTGTGAAAATGATTTCAAAATTTGTTCATAGGCGGGATTTTATAGATTACACTTTTGCCCTTCTAAAACCCTAATGCGATATGTACCCGTAAAGTTGTCTGCGTACATGCCTACTTGAGTTTCGGTACGCCTCTCGCCAAACTAACCGGATCTAGACCGTTCACGGACACAGATCAGATCTGACTGTTGCTTCCTTATAACAGACAAAAATAAAGGGAGTAATCGTGTGCGGACGAATTGTTTGTGCTTTCCATTAATTTAGCCGACACTTGCCTTACATCTAATAAGAAAGTAACGTTTGGTATATTAATTTAACGGACCACAACTTATAAAATTTACTATTGTTTTGGACTGTATAGGCCTTGAATCAATTCAATCTAAATTATGACTAACAGCGAAAATCAACGGTGATTATTTATTATGCAACTCGTCTCGTTTGATTCAAATTAACATTTGATAATCATTAAAGAGTCCTTGAAAACGTATGAGCTCACACACCACCGATCCCACTGTAAGTAATATTAATCTGGCTAAATCAAATCGAATAAT